CTGCAGGGACCCTGCTGCTTCGGGGCATCTCCAGTGCATCCTCCTTTGGTTGTGAGGAGGACACTTGGCACACAGCCCCCATCTTTGCTGCCCCAGTCCCACCACGCTAAGCCCCTGAGTTGTGGGGGGAAGACCCCAAAGACTTTCACAGGGAAGCAGGAAGTGGCACAATGGTTCCATCTCTAGTCTCTGCTTTTACTGCCCTCAGACCAATACTGAGCTTCCCGTGTTGCTCCCATTTGTGGGGGCTGCCTGCAGGCTTCCCTTGGAGGTGTCTTTGGAGATCACAGGCTCCAGTGGTGGAGGAGAGAGGCTGGGCCCCGGGTGACTTTGTTTCTTGGGAACTTCTTTCCCGAGGCAACTGAATGAGACCTTCCCAAGCGAGGGTGGTGGCTTCTGCTTCAGAATGCCTGGCGTGTTTCCCAGCGTGAGACATTCCCCAAGTATGTAACTTTGTGAGGATCCCAACCACTGAACTGGGAGCCGTCTGCCATGGGAGAGCTGGCACCCACGGGATGCCAGGGGTGGGGGAGCATGACAGGCCCCTCTGCCAGATACCAGGGAGGCCCAGCCCCTAGTTATATCCTGCAGAGGAAAGGAGCTGGCCAACTGTCCAGGCTCAACAAGAGCATGAAACTTCTCTCTCCCTTCTCATCCTCTCCTTCGCACAAAGCAGTGCCCTAAAGAGGCTTCTGTCGACGGAGCAGCAAGGGAACCTTGGTAGACCATCATTCCCCTCAGCAGTTCCAAAGATGGACACAAAGAGCACCCTTCATTGAATTCCTGTGTGCAGTGGTCTGAAAATTGGTTTGGGAGGACCGAAGGTCAACAGTGTCTGTCACATGGTATTTGTTTTGCTTACCAGTGATGAAGCCGAAGAGGAAGGGAACTTCTGGTGGAGGGTAAGAAGCCCCTGCCAAGGAGTGCCTGGCAGAGGAGCCTCGCTGTGCCTGGGGAAGGGCGTGTGGGTGTGGGGCCACAGAAGCTTGGCTGTGCTGGGCTGCATTCTGAAGGGTGTGCTCAGGGTTGAGGGTCTAATGCCACCATCCTTTGTTGGGGAGGGAGCCGCCTCTCTGAACCTTGCCTCCAGTGTACTTACGTGAATTCCTTCAGTGTATGGTCAGTGAGTGGGCATTTACTGCCTGATGCTTTGGGTACTCACATTAAAATACTATACAGTGAAAAAATGACTCTTCACTTCTCTCTGGTCTTAGGCTTTAGTTTAACTTTGTCTCAACTCGATGCGTTCCAAAATTTTGAAATCTTTGTTCCAAGGAAGCCACTAATGGAAGGACCTAGAGGCCACTTGATGAAAGATGGGCTTATGCATTTTTCTAATTTTCATTTTAAAATTTATTCTGCTTTTGTTTTTTTTTTTTTTTCGGTACCAGAGATAGAACTCAGGTCCTTGCACTTGCACAGCAGGCGGCGAAACCACTGAGCTAAATCCCAGGCCCCTATTCTGCTTTTGTTTTAAGTGCACATTGTTGTCAAAAATAAAACTAAAAAGTTCCCCCAAACAGGCAACTTCCAACAAATTACAGAATTTGGCATTCAGAATAAATGAACTTTCTTTTCTATGGTTTGTTTTAAATAAGTCTGAGTTCTCTGACTGCTCAAACTGTGTAATGTTTTTTTTTCTGTTTCGGAGTTTCTCTGTTTTGAAGGATGTGGAGTAAGACATCCTGAACTTTTGCTTTACTTCATTTTCTTTTATGTAGAGGTGCTGCCCCCTTGTCTATTATTTAGTTAGTTTTGCCAATATTTTTTCTGATGCTTTCTGCTTTCTTGCTTCTTTAAGCACATCCCTGATTTCATTCCTTTCTCTAGCTCTCCTTTGGCATTTGATATCTGTGCCTGGTCTGTTTTTCCAAATCCTAGTCCTAGTAGCTAAAGCTGTAGGGCAGTGACACAAAAGGGCTCTAGAGCTAGGCAGCCTGGATCCAAACCCTGGTTCGACCTCCTTGTGGCTGCTTGACCTTCGGCTGCTTAATGCTCTTCTTGAGGCTCATTGCTCTCGACAGTAATGGGGGACAATCATAACACCTATGTCAGAGAGCTCTTTGGGGGATTAAGTTGGTGATTAAATGAAGCAGTATATTGTGAAGTCTTAGTCCAGTCGCCAGCACCATTATCCTTTATTTTTGGCTTCTAGGTATGTGTTGTTTTTGCTTGTTTGTTTGTTTGTTTTGGTACGGGGGGGATTGGGACCTTGCGCTTTCGAGGCAGGCGAGGCAGGCGCCTGAACCACTGAGCTAAATCCCCGGCCCCATGGCTTCTAGGAATGATTAGGGCTTATTGGCAAATACTAGTTAGGAGGAGTGGCTGGTGGAGGAGAATGTTGACACATCACTGACTCTAGTACTTCTTGTCCTTGGTGATACAAAGGAGAAAGCCTTAAGTGAGCTGTGTACCCTGAACTGCTTTCTTTCTTATCTAACCACTTTACCCAGACACAATTTGCAAACCATTCCATTTACCCAGGTAAAGTACATTATTTCAACAGTTGGTACATTATTAATTTTTCCCCCATTAAGTTTACTGGTGCATTTTAGGTATAAAATACAGTTACATTCTTCATTGGGATCTTGTACCTTTACCTGAGTCTCTTGGTTCTAATTTTTTTTTCCCCTTCCCTTGCCCTCCCTTCACCCCCTCCACCCTTCCCTATTTGCAAAGACTTTGTTTCCACTTTTTTCCTTTTCTCATATTTTTTCTTTTCCCTTATTTCCTTTCCCCTGCCCCTCCCACTTCCCCTGCTCCTTTAGACCTTTACTTCCTGTTACACAATATCAATTATATATTTTTAAAATTACAATATCAAGACCTAGGAGACATTACCACAGATTATACAAAATTTAAAAGGATACAGAGAGCATATTTCAAAAATCTGTTTTGAAATAAATTTGACAACTTCTAAGAAGTACCTTGGAAGACAAATTAATGAAACTGACTCTGGAGGAAATATAAAATTTGAATAGCACCTATTAAAGAAAGTATATTCCTAGCTTGAAAACCTACCTATATGACAACAGCAGGCTCATAAACATTTTAACTGATAAATTATATCAAACAATTAAAGCAGAAAAAAGAAGGAACACTTCTCCCCTCATTTTAGGAAATCAACATTGTGCTAATCCTAAAACTGGATAAAGATAATAGAAGAAAAAAGTATGAACTACATTACTAATTTATAAAGTTAGGGTAAATATATAAAAAACAACTTGCCACTTAAATGTACAATATTTTTAAATGTACAATTCAGTGATGTGAATTATAATCATCTCGTTTTCAAAATATTTTCACCACCCCAAGAAGAAAATGTACTCATTAAGCAAAAACTCCCCATGCCCCCTCCCTTAGCACAGGTAACCTCTAATCTACTCTCTGTGAATTTGCTTTTCATACTGTATTTGTCCTTCCTGCGTCGTCACTTATTTCATGTAGCTTAATGTTTACAGATTCATCTGTGTTACAGTATTATCAGAACATCGTTGTTTGTATGGCTGAACAGTATTCCATTGTATGGGTGTACCACATTTTATCCAATATCTGGACATTTGGCTGTTTCGCCTTTTGGCTATTGTGAATAATGCTGCAGTTAACACAGACATATGAGTATCTGTTCAAGTCCCTGCTTCCACCTCTACCCAGTGATGGAATGGCTGAGTCATATATAATTCCATTTTAGCTTTGGGAAGAACTACTGAGCTATTTTCTTAGAAAACAGTTGCTTTGGGTCATTATGTCCTCTGTATTTCCCTCATTTAGGCATCTCCCTGGATTCTGTCTCCTCCTGTCATCCAAGCTTTCCGGTTCTTCCAAGGAGCAGACCTGTTCTTATCTACTCTCCTAACCACCTGTCTTCCTCCCTTTTTTGGAGAGAACACTCCCTTCTCAGAGCTTTGGCCACTCATCTGCCCAATGGCTCTAATTTCATTGTCTTTGTAGAAGACCATCTGTAGACCAGGTCCGCTTTGGCTGGAGGCCTGGCCCAGCCACAGAATGACCCAGGACTCCTCAGGTGTGGGAAGTCAGGGCTGTCACACCAGGGGCCCCTGATAGATTTGGGCCCTCCTCAGACAGGGCTTCCTTGTCCCTCATGACACCTTGCTCTGTTGTTCCCCCTCAACTTTGCTTGTGTTTAGGGAGCAATTTGGCCACCCTGTCCAGGGGGAGGGTTGTTCTCCACTTTTCATTTGCCTGTAGTTTCTGTACTTTTCATGAGCAAGTGAATTAATTAATGACTACCCCAACAGACTGTGAGCCTGACTCAGACGGCCATTCCGGCTGTTGGGCTAATTGTTAGCCCAGGTTTCTGGATGTCATTCATTTCACAATAAGGCTCCTAATTAATCTGGGTGCAGTTCTCACCAGAAGAAAGGCTGATAGGGAGAAACATCCCCCATTACCATGAGAAAGGAAATGTCAAGAGCCCTGTTGAGTTTTCCTGGCATCCGCAGCCTTGTTTCAGATGAAAACCACCATTAGGGCACGAAGGCTGCCCAGGCCTGGATCAGCCCTGAAAATCAGAGAGTGTGAGAGCCTGTGGAGCCGAAGGCCACACAGACCAGCTCTGCGAAGAGCATGCTGTGTGTGCACCCTCTGGTTTTGTAGCACCGAGACAGGACGGAGAATCCCTGAGCCCTGTGCCACCTCATTGTCATTGTCATTGTCAGCAGAAATTCCTCTGCTGTCCCCAGAGCAGGTGGGCGGCTTTCATCTGGAAGAGCTAAAGGTCTCTTTGTGTGTTTTTGTGCCTGCAGGACAAAAGATCCTTCATCACCGAAGTGACGTCTTGGAGACAGTGGTCCTGATCAACCCCTCCGATGAGGCAGTCAGCACCGAGGTAAGCAGTGGGCTCCCAGGGATCTTGGGTGGGGCCTCACTCTGGATGGAAACCAACTGCTCACATTGGAGGGGCCAGACAGGTGGGGACGGGGGTGGGGTGGAGGGAAATAGAAGAGAGAAGAGCTAGGTTCAGGGCTCTTCCTGAAGCAGTTGGCGTCTGTTTCTCTGCATCTGACTACTTCACACCATTGCTCCTGGTAAGGACACCATTGGAGGTGCTAGCTGGATCTGTAGCACTTGGTGGAGGTGAGGGAGTGTGGAATTGGGGGCATACATGGGGTGTGTGCTGCAGGGTGGATCTGGCAGGGTGGTAGAAAGGAGCTAGACTGTAGGCCCTCGGGCTGAGAACCTGGAGAAGATGCAAGCCCCGTTCCCAGCTCCCTGCACCCCACCCCGGCACAGGGCTCAGGAGAGTGGCAGCTGGTGTCTCCTTACCTGGGTTCATGATCCCAGGTCTGCCACCTCTTTGGTGGTGGCCTGGAGCAAGTCATTGGCTGTCTTCATTTGAGTTTGCATCTCTATAAAATGGAGATCATAACTAACAGCTTTACATTTAATGTCCATTCTCCATGTTGTGCTTTGAGGTGTGAAGTGTTCGGGACAGCTTGTGGCATGTGGTGCCTGAAATGTTGGTGCTGGCTCTTGCTGTGACATTATCATATGTAGCTGTGGCTAGAGAGTGACAGGGACTTTCAGAGCCCCACATGATATAAGAACTTGGCTGAAGACAAGGCCAAGGAGTTGATATAGCTCTGTTTTCCACTTCGTTTACTGCAGTTTAGAGGCTGGAGGTGGAGCTGCTTCTTGGACATCCAAGTAGCCAGAGTTCCTGGATTCTCCGTTGTCTACTGTGTCTTGCTTTGAGCATCTCTGTTATAGCTTGTTCCTTTTAAATTGAGATATAATTCAGGTACTATGAAACCCATCCTTTTAAAGTATACAATTCAGTGATTTTTTTTTTAGGATATGTACAAAGCTGTGCAACCATCACACTATCTAAGCATGTCTATCACTCCCCCAAAACTCTGAAACCCGTGAGCATTCACTCTTCCCTCTGCTCTGTTGCTAGCACTCCCTGATCTACTTTCTCTGTATAGATTTGCCTATTTTGGACATTTCATATAAATAGAATCATACAAAATGTGGCCTTTTTGTCTGGCTTATTTTACTTAGTATAAATGTTTCAAGGTTCAGCTATGTGCCAGTATAGATCAGTGCTGCATTCCTTTTTATGGCTGTATAATATTTCATTATATGGATATACTATCTTTGCTTGCTTGTTCCTCAGTTGCTGAATGTTGGGGTTGCTTCTACTTTTTTGGCTTTCATTATGTAGCTTGTTTTGCTCCACTTCTGCCTGCTTGAGATCAGCAAAACTTTTGACAGTGTGCTCACACACATGGTTGAGAAAAATGATGGGATAGTAATCTCTCTATGACAAATTGAATCAGGAGGTAATCACAACTTGAAAAAAGCTGTAGGAATATGTTCAGGCAGACTGCTTGAGAAACAACTGTGAGAAATGAAAAAGGAAAAATAAGAAATTTTTTAAGGAACCCTTGCTTGCTTGTGGAGCAGATGGGGCTGAGACCATTGGTTAGTTACATGTGTTTTTCCATGATTCCACATGGCCTTCTTGGGCAGGGGGTTGTGGCTGCTTTAGTGTCCTCGTCTCAGTGTCTGGTATGATGTATGGCATGCAGTATGTGCTGGACATTGGTGAATTGGGCTCAGAACAGATATCTTGGTGCTTGGACTGGTGTTCCTGGGAAAGGCAACAGGCTTCCTGCCACTTAAAGTTCACAGAGAGTTCTTTAGTGTAACTTTCAAAGACTGCTACTCAGAGGTAGCATTTTCTTTATGTTCAGTGTCAAGCACCTTGCAGATCCCTCTGGAGACTGCATTTGGAGCCGTGTGCTTGCTCCATGGCTTGGAAGGAAAGGAGTCTTGGATAGGGTTTGGGAAGAGGTCGTGCAGCTTGGGAACTTAGTGGGAACCTGTCCTTCCTGAGAGGCCAGTTAAGGGACCTGGACTGCATGTGGTGACTCACCTGTGGGACATTTGCAAGTCCTTCCTGTTCTCACAGACTGCATACAGCTAGCAGACACTTCCAAAGAGCTGTGGAACAAATGCTTCCAGCTGTGATGATGGCTTTGAGAAGGAAGAGGAAATGAGGGGGAGAAAGTCAACCACCACTGCTGTCTTGGTTATAGCAGAACTTTGAAAATGATATTCATGGGGGAGCTAAGAGCCTCAGTTAATAAGTTTCTGGATGATTCCTCCAGCCTTCTCAGCCCCCGGGGAAGAAATGAGAGTCTCAGGAAATGAATGCCTTTTATTGGTGATGAATTTCCTGTGCTCAGGGCTGTCACTGTCCTGGAGGGTGGGATGGGGTGCTGCCTCCCACTCACACCTTGCTCCCTGCCTCTGTTTCAGGTGCGCTTGATGATCACCGATGCCGCCCGACATAAGCTGCTCGTGCTGACTGGGCAGTGCTTTGAAAATACCGGAGAGCTCATTCTCCAGTCTGGCTCTTTTTCCTTCCAGAACTTCATAGAGATTTTCACCGATCAAGAGGTGGGTTCCTGTCGGGAGATGTCTCAGCTTGCAGTTGCTTGGTTATTGTTTAGACTCAGGCTGCTCTTTGAAAACACTGGGGAAAGAGAAGGGGAGGGAATGTCACGGCTCCTTTGAAATAAGCAAATCTGGGTGATCCAGAGTGCTTTAGTCCTGTGGCTCATTGCCAAAAGAATCTGAAGCACTTGTCTGTTACTGATTGAACCATTTTCAATGTGCCTGTCATATAAATGGGCAGGAGATGGGGAGGGGACACTCAACATTTACAGATGGCAGAAATGATAGAGAAACTTGAAATGACAGAGACCAAGAGAAAATCGAGGTTTCCTGTTTTCTGAAAGAATACTCCAGAGCTCTGTTGGGCTTTGGGTAGGATGTCACTACCTTGATTTGTTTTTAGTACTCGTACCTACTTTTCCTGGCCTAATTATTTGTGATCTCTCTTACTTCTAATGCCTGGCTCAGAGTTTGAACTGGGGCTGTATGAAGGGGCCATGGAAGAGGAGGCAGGTAGAAAAATGGGGCATGATTTTGACCCAAGAAAAAGATGGTTGAAGTAGCTGGGTTGGAGCTGAGTCATTGATATGTCTCATAAATATATCTTACTCAAGGGAAGCATTGACAACTATAGGGCATTAGTGGTATTTGGTAAAACTAGATGAGAGATTTTAATTTGCTTATTTTTGCTTGAGAATTTATTCTAGCTGGGGAAATTTCTAAACTAATGTGTTTTTTAAAAAAACTAGCGTATTTGTTTATAGCAGTTCCACATACAATTCAGGACCATCAGCATAGCAGCCTGGGGCCCAGACATAGGTGATGGTAGATTTCTAAATGGAGAGGCCAAGAGATGTCCCATTAGGAGCCCACTGGTATCTTTTCCTGGGACAGCTTCTCCATTCCGTGTGTACCTCAAAGGGCCATGTGGCCTTCTGTCTGCCATCTTCCATAGCCACATGCCCCACAGGGAGATGTCTGTGTTCTCATCCTCCCTGGCAAGATCATAAGCAACTGCCCAGCCTCATTAAGCTTGCCTGCAGGTCTCCATCAGACATGGGCAGATGACATAATGATTTTCACTTTCCACACACGGGAGGGCTGAGGACAATACAAAGCTTTGAAAAGGGACATTTTACTTAGTGTTCGAAGCTCCCATTCTTAGAGGTGTGGTGTTGTCTACATCGGAAAGAACTTTCCACCCGAAGTCACAAAGGGACTCAAAAGCTTTGGGGCTCACTCATAGCAGCTGGTCTGTCCTTACCATTTTAAAATGAAAGCTTGGTTCCAACTTTTCCAGAACTTGTGATCTGTCTTCTTCCAAGGCTGCCAGGGTTAGGCCCATGTCTTATCTGCCTTCATATTCATTGCACCTGTATGTAGTAAAGGCCCATTAAACCACTGTTCAACTGCATTGAAACTCCAGAGCTAGAGCTACGATTCTCTCTGCCAACTGCCTACTGCTCTGAAATCGGTGTATAACTGCTAGAATATCAGAATCTTTTGCAAGATTGTATCCTCAAGTTCATGCTATACCCAGGGAAGCTGGGCATTTGGCTTGTAGCTCAAATCATACACTATCAACATCTTATTCCAGGGAGGAGAGAGATCTGGAAGTAGCCTGATGATACAGTGCTCAAAACTCAGTTCAGTCTTGAACTTGTCTCCTTTACAGACTCTTAGGTACCTTTCTGCATTCCTGGGTAGTTCTACAGTTAGCTTCCAGTACATGGTTTCTACCCGCATTATTGGTTTATCTTTTTTGCCATGAAACCAAGCAAAGGAAATATGTAAAGAATTGTGTTTATCATTGTAAAGACTTTATACAAGGAATTAACGTGTTTCATACATCTGAATAAAACAAACACCCTTTTAAACAAGGAATAGTGTTATGAGCATTGCTGATTAAATCATTTTACAGGCCATGGAAGTGGAGCTTTGCCACAGTGGGCTGTATACATGTCATATTTTGCCCTTAATTACAGATGAAAAGGAAATAGCCCTACCAACAGAATCTGAGTTCTGGGGAAGGGCAGATTCCCCAGAGTTCGTAATCATAGGAGTGTGTTTGTTACACTCTAGTAGGCTTCATTAAGGCCAGAAACTGTGAATTCTTCTTTGCAGCTCTCATGACTCCCCTACCCTGATACTTTGGAGACCAAAGTAATTCTCAACATATATGGAAAAGATGCTTTAGATCAGTGGTGTTGGGGTGATGAGGGAAGGGAAGGACACTGTATAGAATTCACTCTCTTCCTCTGGCACTATCAGAGCAACTCAGCCTTTACCTCTTTTACCTCATAGGCATTGTAGACAGGATGCCACAGCTCAAGTGGGTTGGAAATCACTGGACTAGACTAATGGTTGTCAGAATTTGGAGCAATGATAGCCTTTTGCTGGCTTGGGAAAAAGTTTGAATACAGAATGATTCAGTAACAAGAGGACCTTAAAGGTCATTTGATGTTTACTTTTTTCCCTTTTGTCTAGTCTTTGGAGCATACTAGTCAACTGCAGATAAACCAGAAACAAAAATGCTCTATCTTTTGACAAGAATTTAGCAAAAATGCTATATTTTTTTACAAGAATAGCTAAAAATGAATGTACTAAGAAACAGAATTATCAGTGCACTTGGAGCTTCAAGTTTCTGGAGCCTTCATCATTGGAGATCAAATTCAAAACCAGCATCACAGATAGAGCAGTCATCCAGCTAACACATCTGTCTTTGAAATCCAGGGATGGGGGAAAGTCATCATCTCCTGGGGCATTTCCCAGCTTCTCTGTTGGAAAGTTTTTCCTTATTTATATATCTTCAGGGAAGAGATTTAATCTCTCTTCCGCCCACAGTGTCTTGGATATTCTTCACCAACACAGTTCCCCATTAATCACCTCAACAGTATTCACAGTTCTTCCTAAAATATTAAAGGTTTCTTGTATTCCCTACTCATTGTCCTTCAAATATGTTCCTCATTTGTGAAGGGCCGATTAGGTGGGTAGGGAAGAAATTCAAGAGTTCAGTCTTGGCCATGTTTTAGTCCCTTGGAATTATCAAAGAGTTGAATATAAGAGTCCAGAGCTAAAGAACTCAGACTGGAGCTAGAGATACTAATTTATAACCTATTTGCATATCAGAGGTATTTAAAGCCCAGTGATCTAGAGAGAGAGAAATATGATAATAAGGGGAAAGAGCCAAGTCTAGCATTTAGAGGTTAAGGTCAAGGAAAAGGAGCCATCAAAGGAGACCTGTTTCAGGTTGTTTTTTGGTCTAGTTTCTCTAAAATGTCATCCCTTAAACAAGACACCACATTCCAGGAATTAGTGCCTTCTGTACTTTTCAATACAATCTTTTATTAAATAAGCCTAAAAGTAACTTACCATCACCATGTATAATTGAATGTCAGAGAGGAAGAGCTACAGGCTTTAGGGAGCTCTGCAATTGAAATAATTTGGGGGCGCCCATTAAGAAAAAGAAAACAGGAAGCTGCGTATGGTGGCACATACCTGTGATTCCAGTACTATGGTAGGCTGAGGAAGAAGAATGGCAAGTTTGAGTCTAGCCTGGGCTACATAGTGACTTGGCAAGATCCTGTCTCAAAATAAAAAAGGGCTGGGGATGTAGCTCAGTGGTAAGAGTACCTGCCTAGCACACACAAGTCCCTTGGTTCAATTATCAGTGCTCAAAAATAAAAAGAAAAGAGCCAGGCATGGTGTCACATGCCTGTAATCCCCACTACTTGGGAGGCTGAGGCAGGAGAGTCAGAAGTTCAAGGCCTGGGTAACTAATTTAATAATTTATTACTAATTTAATAAAACCATACAATTAAAACTAATTTAATAAAACCTAGATTTAAAGTGTACGGGTAGGTGGCTCAATGCTAGAGCACCCCTGAGTTTAATTTCAAGTACCACAAAAGAAATAACAATTATTAATACAAAATATATTAAAGTACAAGGCTTTAGGGAAAAGACCATGGCAGTGCGGGGCCTTGAAGTTTAAGCTCCTTTAGCTTCATGTTAAATCCCTGAGTTTTTGCATGGATATAAATATTATTGTTAAGCCACATCTCCCCATCCCGTACTTTACCCTGCTGGTTTATTGAACCTTACATTTATCCCTTTAGAATGCCTGCAGTTAAAGTTGACAGCCATCATCATCCCAATATCAAGAGCTTTCATAAATATCTCAATTCTGCCATCCCATATTTTGCTATGCTTCTCATTTTCATGGCATCCACAGACCTGATCAACATGTCTTTAGCATTTTTGTCCGAGCGATTACTCACTAGAAGTGAACTCTATGGCAGCCCATCATAGACTTCTTTCCAGGTTGACGTTAACCATGGTTACTACAGATTCCCCCTAATTCTGCTATCACAGTGTTCAGAGAGGCCATTAAATGTCTTGCTAAAGTTCAGTAGCACACTGTCTACAGTATTTCCTCACCAGCCAGGCAAGTAACCTAATCAAAACAGGAAATATAGTTGACAGGCTAGGGTTTAGAAAATTAAAATCTTGTTTCATTTATATAATCTGTAGTAAAGCGGTTTATTTCCTTTCTTTTCCTTCCTTTTCCAGTAAGCCTGCATTTCATTAGGAAAAGTAATTAACAAAAAAGGTTTTCTTTGGCCCACAGCAGTATTCCGCCTGTTCATGTCTGTCATCTGTCTTTGTGAGAACCATGGGAGCAGACTGTGTTTGATAATATCAGCAAGCTCATGTCACATCCCAAGTTCTCCCTCCTGGATGACAGCATGTGTTGAATTGACCAGATGCAGTTCAGCAGAAGTGTATCTTCAACAGAAGATGTGTTTTTGCTCTCCAGAAACCTTCGTTCCAGTGGGCTCTAATGGTATTATTAAGAGAGTTTCCCAATACATTTAGAAGAAGCTGCTGTTTCCAAATCTAAAAACTGGCCCCGGGATTCCTTGCCAGAGCCTCCTTACCGTTCTCACTCATTCCCTGATGAGCAGTGATTGAGCTGTCATCATCATCCCTTAAGAGGGGCAAGCCCTCTTAGACTCAGCCACTGCCCTCGAGGGCCCCAGTCTGTGTGGTGCTTGGGGGCCTGCAGGTCTGCAATCAGGCTGTGAGGGGAAGGGGGCTTCATTTCTGTTGTCCTTGCCCCATTCCATCGCCTCCCTGACTGGCTCTCTCAGCCCTTGTCTGTTCATTCTTGTCTCTTCATGCACAGGATGCTGTTTTTCCAGAGGGACCACATTTTCCCTCTCTGCAAAGGAACTTGCCTAGCAGAGCTGGCTTGCTCTTCTCCTCTGCCCTGTGTGTCATAGTTCTTTATTCAGTGGACCTTTCTTGACTGTCTGTTATGCTCCAAGATTTCCTCAGAATTCTGTACAACTTTGTTTTATATTTCAGGCACTTCCTGCATTTCATAGAAACTCTCTGGGTAGAGGTGAAAACATGGAAAGTAGAGAGATATTCTTCAGGTCTTTTTACCTTCTCCTTTAATTTGGTGATTACACACTTAAAAGAGTTAGTGATTTTAATCATTTTAATCCTTATTTACACTTTCAGTTTCTCACAGTAGAGAAATATTTGAAATAGGATGAAAAGGTCCAAAGGTGTAGGGGTGGTGGGAGGGGAAGGGAAAAGAAAAGAAGGGAAAGCAAAAATTATGAGAAAAGATAAAAAATGGAAGCGAAGTCTATGTAAATAGGGAAGGATGGAGGGGGTGATGGGCGCACAGGGAATGGGGAAAATGTAAGAACCAAGATACATCATGTACAGGTACAAGCACCCAATCATAAATGTAAACGTATTGTATACCTAAAATGTACCAATAAAACAATTTAAGAAAAAAAAAGAGTTAGTGATTGATAGTGATTGAATAGCCTTGCCTCTCCCCGGTTAAATTAAGCCTCAACCACCCCACCTCTCAACTGGAGTACAATTTCAAAAGATTAAAATGAACCAAACTTAATTTTAAATTTTTGCTATTAAAGATTCAGCAGTTAGTTATCCTGAATTTGCCCCCTAACTGTACTGTAAAACATGGAGAGTTTGCATATGCTCTGTGTGGAAATGAGGACTGAGAGAATCCTCTTCGTGATATAGTGATGGCAGTGGGGATCTGTGTTAATTACTGGACAGAAACCCTGTTTGGTGCCCATGTTTTGCTTTGATCAGCAAATAATTTGAAGAAAGATGGTTTCCATTTGCAGGAAATAATTGGGAAAAAGATTTCTTCCCAAAGATGGTTGCCATTTGCTTTTTCAGTTTTCTTAGCTTCCAAAATAGGGGCTGATTCTTATTCTTTTTATAGGAGACTGTGAAGTTAAGCTGGAAGGAAAAAGCAAAATTTTTGTTATTTTGCTATTTTGCGACCCTTCATGTAAATTGTTATACTTCAGTTAACAGG